GAAAATCGACAGGTAGCAAATTTAGTTTCGTCGAGGACATACCGAACTGTACTGATGCAAACTTTCCCAGTGAAACGATCAGAGAAGGTCAGCATCAGTATCACGTGGTAACGTGTAAGCTTACAAAATCGCTACAACGTAAGGCAGAATATTGAGACCGGTCAGGCTAAAAATGTTTCATTTTGTCACCTTGTTTTAAGCTTTCTCAAATTTATGAAGATCTCTCCTTATATTGTCCGTTCTCGCCCTAAAGTTCAATTGCAAAAAATAATTACCGCATGAACGTTCTGTCCATGGCTTAATCTAAATTATTACGTAATAGAGTTTTATCCAGAAAATTCATGTTAAGAAGAAGGCAGCAGGAAGAGTGAACCTCTTACGGCGCATCCGTTCCAGTATTGATACTTTTACTGCCCAACGAATTTACCAATCGATGATTATGCCAATATTTACGTATTGGGGCTATACTTGTATTGGATGGTCAGAGTCCCGCAAACGCATGATCTGCTCCATTGAGACCCGAAGCCTCGAAATCGTTTCCCCAAAATGCAGTTCACAGAACTGTGATCTTCGATTTTTAACTGTTGATAACTTTATACAAAAAAGAGCGTGCTTCTTTGTATTTGACTGCCTTAATGGAACTGCATGCTTTCCGTTTAAAGACTATTTTCACCGATAACATCATAACGCTTTAAACACTAGAAACAATGGGAAAACTGCAAAACTACCAAAAGTCAGACTGGATTTTGCGCGCCATAGCTTTTATTTTTTAGGTGCCTCGATTTTTAATTTATTACCTTTAAGTTTAAGAAACATTAATTCTAGAGTTTTATTTAGGAAAGCCTAAGACGATTATTACTTGTAATTTCTATTGTATTTTTAACGGTTTTTAATATGTATTTTATTTTATATATCTTAATAATTCTTGTTTCGTAGTTTTTAATTCTTAGCAGGACCCCGTTGATAACAGTACTTTGTACTGAAGGGTTATCCTGAGGAAATATTCGATTATTTAGGTTTGGTTCCGATTATTTTCTTCAGTTTTTTGCCCCTTGTATGAATTCGTGGGTTTTGATTTTATGAACAGTGAATAATCAGAGAACTTATCGGACGAAGTCGATTATAGAATTGGCAGATGCTCATGGCAATATAAATATAATTCTCAACGCAATACATACATCAGAACCGTAAACTGTTAAGAATGGCACAGTTAGTCTTAACTAAAAAAATGTGCGTAAAGCTGTTCTCCTGTTACCATACAATTCCAGACATCTCGCACGTTTTCGCAAACAGACAGTTTTTCCAGTGAGTGAGGGGAATTTTGGCACGAAATGTTCCGCTACTCTCCATTAACACACTGAGTTGAAAGCGGTAACCACTGTTGGCGCTCAAGGCAGTTCCCTTCACTAAAAAAAAAATTCAACATTATTATCAGCTGATAACGTGCCAGCTCACTAAATCGCTACAACGTAAGGCAGAATATTGAGATGGGTTGGAAATGTTGCATTTTGCCACCTAGTCTTTAAGATTTTTCAAGTTTTTGAAGATTTCATTTTGGATTATCCATTCCCACCGTAAAATTTGATTGCAAAAAATAAGCACCACATGAAATTACTGTTTATGGCTCAATTACTTTTTTCTCTACCCCAAATTTGGTTCCGATCATTTTCTTCAGTTCTGTGGCCCTTATATCGATTCGTGAGTTTTGATTTTATGAACAGTAAATAATCACAGTAAAACTTATCAGATGAAATTGATTATAAAACTGGCAGATGTTTATGGCAAGTATAAATGTAATTCTTTACGCAATACATCCATCAAAACCGTAAACCATAAAGAAAGGCACAGTTAGTTACGTACGAAAAACTTCCGCCTGTTACCAGACAATTCCGGAAGTCTCCCTCACTGTAAAAATAATACTTGCAATGATGAATCTGTAAACGGCCTAAGAAACGAAAACGAACATTATTTTAATTTAATTTGTATATATATTCATTTATTTTTATTAAACACAAACTAAACATAGAAAGCGTATCAGGGAAATTTTGAGGGGGAAAAATCTATCTGGGAAATAACGAGCCGCTTCATAATCTCGATATTTATTTTTGCCGACGGCTTTGTGGCCAATTTATAAACCGTCGCTATGCTTTATCAGTCCTTAAAAAAATCCACTTTCTAAGGAATCCTGTTTACTTTTACTGTATTGCTCAACGCAGCTCAAATTATTCCGTGACAATTGCTATCTTTCAGTGACAATGTCACCTCCAAGTTCAATTTCTTTGGATTAGACTGACAAATCCTTTTCAAGAAAGCGGACGATTATTTGAGCCCCATCGTTGTATTTCATTCCACGTAAATNTATTTATTTTTGCCGACGGCTTTGTGGCCAATTTATACACCGTCGCTATGCTTTATTAGTCCTTAAAAATAATCCACTTTCTAAGCAATCCTGTTTACTTTTACTGTATTGCTCAATGCAATTCAAATTATTCCGTGACAATTGCTATCTTTAAGTGACAATGTCACTTCCAAGTTCAATTTCTTTGGATTACACTGACAAATCCTTTTCAAGAAAGCGGACGATTATTTGAGCCCCATCGTTGTATTTCATTCCACGTAAATCTGAGGCAACATTAATTTTGAACTATAACTATTACTTCGACATTCTAAAGCAGCTTTCCTTACCATTATGTTCTTGACTATTTCACACCGTCCTTGCATTCATACGCTCTGTAATAGGCCCTTTGCAGCTAAGGTCACGTGACCAATTTTTCCCTAGAAAATATAAATATTATGGGCTATAACTTTAAGAATACTAGAAATGGAAAGAGCGCATCGAAAATACCATAATGGCCAAGTTTGAGGTCCCTAGAATTAAAGAGTAAATTTATACGACAGTTTGAATTTTCGGAAAATTTAGAGGATTTATATGGAAAATGTTGCTGAAGAACAAGGTCTTGCTCTCCAACAACTTTTTCCATACAAATCTTCTTATTCTTTTAAAAATTCAGACTGTCATAAATTCTCATTCTTTAATGACAGGGGCCTCAAACTTGGCCATTTTGATAATGATATTTTCAACATGATTTATCCATTTCTGGCATTCGTTAAGTTATAGTGCGTAGTCACGTGATGGCTTAGCTGCAAAGGGCCTATTTGCTATGATTTACAGTACAGTGTGTGTATGACTGTCTAATGACATCTAGCCTGGAATAACAGAATTGAGTATAAGAAACGTTCTCCGTGAGATGACTAAAGCGGTCATTATTAATTTGATTGTAATAACGTGTTAGTAAACTAGATTATAACAAGTAGTACTTAGAAGAACTGTCAGAAGCGTAAAAGCGTGTGCCATGAAATTTTGCCAAGCAGCAAAAAAAAATTACAGGCAAACAGGCAGTTTTTCCAATTGGTGAGGAGAATTTTGACACGAGATGTCCCGC